CCAACTGCCCCCCCTGCCAGCCTGCTCACCTCCACCTGCCTCCCCTCCTGGCCTGATCGCCCCCAACTGCCCTCCCCTCCTGGCCTGATCGCCCCTAACTGCCTCTGCCTCAGCCCGACCACCATGGCTTTGTCTGGAAGAATGTCCAGAAGGTCTCCCGGTCTGATTAGCATATTACCCTTTTATTAGTATATATTTTTAAAGGACATCCTTTAAAGAGAGAGTCCTGTAAAAGCAAAGCAAAGAGATCACTGGATGTGTTGTGTGGCAGAACAAACAGCCAAAACATAGTTGGTTTGTGTCTCAGATGAGGTCCTGAGAGTTTAAACAGCTTGCCCTAACTCATGCAGCCAGTCAGTGGCAGCTAGGATTTAACCCAGGCAGTCTGTACTTGTGGTCAATGTGATATATATATAATATTTTTAAATTAATTTCAAAGAGGAAAGGAGAGGGAGAGAGAGATAGAAACATCAATGATAAGAGAAAATCATTGATTGGCTGCCTCCTGCATACCCACACTGGGAATGGAGTCCACAACCTGGGTATATGGCCTGATCGTGAATCGAACCATGACCTCCTGGTTCATAGGTCAATGCTCAATCACTGAGCCCTGCATCCAGGCTTTGGTCGATGTTCTTAATGCCTATGATGTGTTATCTATTTGAATCATACATTAAAAGACTTTTACTCAAATTACAACTGATCCTAATTTTTTTTTACTTTCTGCTAGCAAATATCGTATTTATGCTGTTAGACTTATTTTTTGTTTTTTAAGTTATATATTGTTCTCTTCCTTTTTTGTCTATCCTCACCTGAGGATATTTTTTCAATTGTTGTTTTGTTTTGTTTTTTTAAGGAGGGGGAATAAGAGAAAGAGAGACAGGGAGGGAGAAACATTAATGTGAGAGAGACCTGCCCCAACCATGGCCAGGGGGCACACTTGCAACCCTTCGGTGCTTAGACCAGTGCTCTTTAACCACTCAGGAAAGTGGCCAGGGCTATATTTCTTTCTTTCATTAAATACAGAGTAAGACTTGATTGTTGCTTCTCCCCCCCCCTCCCCTAATTGAACTTTGTTTTAATATAATAGGTCTTCAAATTCTGTGACAGATTTTTGGTCAAGTTATTTCCACTAAAAAATACTGATTTTAAAAGCTACTGATTTTAAAACTGCCACACATGGAGAAAAAAACAAATGGTTCACAAAATATTCTCTATAAGGTCTTACGATGTATTATAATCATCAACTAGTCTTTTATTTATTTATTTATTTATTTATTTATTTATTTATTTTTAAATTTAATAAATCTTTATTGCTCAGATTATTACAATTCTTTCTCCTTTCTCCTTCCCCCTCCCCCCATAGCTCCCTTCCACCCGGTCTCACCCCACCCTCTGCCCTTACTTCCCCCCCACCTTTGTCTTCATCCATAGGTGTACGATTTTAATCCAATCTCTTCCTGCACCCCAAATCCCTTTTGCCCTGATGATTATCAATCCACTCCCTTTCTTTGCCCCTGATTCTATTATATTCACCATTTTATTCTGTTCCTCAGATTTTTAGATTCACTTGTTGATATATATGTATTTGTTAATCATAATTTTTATCTTTTTTCTTCTTCTTCCTCTTCTTAAAGAATACCTTTCAGCATTTCATATAATATTGGTTTGGTGGTGATGAATTCCTTTAGCTTTTTCTTATCTGTGAAGCTCTTTATCTGCCCTTCAATTCTGAATGATAACTTTGCTGGGTAGAGAAATCTTGGTTGAAGATTCTCGCTATTCATCACTTTGAATATTTCTTGCCATGCCTGCATAGTTTCTGTGGAGAAATCAACTGATAGTCATATGGGTGCTCCCTTATAGGTAACTATCTGTTTTTCTCTTGCTTCTTGTAAGATTCTCACTTTGTCTTTTGCCCTTGGCATTTTAATTATGATGTGTCTCGGTGTGGTCCTCTTTGTATTCCTTTTGTTTGGGGTTCTGTGCACTTCCTGGACTTATAAGTCTATTTCTTTCACCAGGTGGGGGAAGTTTTCTGACATTTCTTCAAATAGGTTTTCAGTATCTTGCTCTCTCTTTTCTTCTGGCACTCCCATAATTCTTTTTTTTAAATATATTTTTATTGATTTTTTACAGAGGAAGAGAGAGGGATAGAGAGAAACATAAATGAGAATCATCAATCGGCTGCCTCCTGCACACTCGCTAGTGAGAGTGTGCCCACAACCAAGGTACATGCCCTTGACCGGATTCGAACCTGGGACCTTTCAGGCCACAGGCTGACGCTCTACCCACTGAGCCAAACCGGTTTCAGCACCCCCATAATTCTGATGCTGGTACGCTTGAAGTTGTCCCAAAGGCTCCTTACACAATCTTCAATTTTCTGTATTCTCTTCTCTTTTTGCTTCTCCAGAGGACTGTCCTTTGCCTCCTTGTAATCCAAATCTTTTATTTGATTCTTGCATTCCTATAGTCTGCTGTTGGGTCTCTGTATAATATTTTTTATTTCAGTCAGTGTTTGTTTAATTTCTAATTGGTCCTTTTTATATCCTCGAGGGTCTCATTAAATTTATTGGCCTTTTCTAGCAAATTCTTGAAAAACCTTATAACCGTGGTTTTGAGCTCTTTATTCAGTCTTTTGTTCTCCATTTCTTTCGTTTGTGATCTATTTCCTTGTCTAGGTATTTTCACTGCTTCCCAAAGTTGGTAGGATGGCTTTGTGTGTTTGGGGTCCTATATGGCCTGATGGGTCAGCCTCCCTAGATACCTGAGGTAGATACTCTTGGTGCACCCCTTTGTGGACTGTGTGTACAGCCTTGTTGTAATTAAGTCTTGACAGTTGTTGGTATCATTGGTAGAATTGACCTCCTGGCCAATTGGATGTGAGTATAAGCTGTATCTACTTCGGGATATCGTTTGTATTGGAGATAGTCTTATAGGATCAGACTTGCAAAATTGCAAAAGCCTCTGTGCTCAGCTTGGATGGGGCAGAGTCTCAGGGCTAAGCCAATAGTCTTGGCTTCCAGTCAGTCCTGCCCCTGTGTGCGTGCCTCAGAGCTTTGCATTCCACGGATCTCTTGAGTTCCCGCCTGACAGTCCAGATTCCCCCTGCAAGAGTGTGGGAGCCCTAGGGACTCACCCGAAATTGGGTTGGGTCTCTAGTCTGGAGCTTCCGACTCCTTCCACTATGGAGAGGCCAAAGCAACCTTCATGGTCAGACTTTGCGCACATTCACTTGCACGCAACTGTAGACCCTGCCTGCTGCGGCTCCCGGCTCCCCGGAGTCTCCCAGTCTCTGAGTCTTCGGGTGCCTTTCTCTACAGTCCAGACTCCACCCATATGAGCCTGGGTCCACAAAGTTTCGGAGGGGGTTGGTATTTAGTGCAGACAGAACTGGGGTTCAGTGCAGTGGGGGGGGGGGGGGGGGCTTCCTTTCCCCTCCTGCCAGCCAGGCACTCAGCCGTCCTTCCTCTCTGTGCGCACGTCTCCCTACCTCAGCGCTTTGCAGCTCCCCTGATCCATGAGTCTCTCTCCTTCTTTTTAGTTGTAGATTTTTCAACTCCACCAGCTTTCCTGTGGTTTTGGATGATATCCATTCTATCTTTTAGTTATTGTTTTGAAATATTAGTTGAGCACAATGGCTTGGGTTAATTTCTGGAGTCTCTGTTCTGTTCCATTAATCTATGTGCCTGATCTTGTGTCACATTGTGCACGCTGTTTTGTGCACATTGACTTTGTAGTATAACTTAATATCTGGTATTGTGATTCCTCCTACTTTGTTCTTCTTTTTCAAGATTACTGCAGCTATTTGGAGTCTTTTTTTATTCCATATAAATTTATGGTGTTTTTATTCTAGATCTGTGAAATATGCCATTGATATTTTAATAGGGATTGCATTGAATCTATAAATTGCTTTGGGTAGTATGGCCTCCACTTGGGTTGCCAGAGGGGGGGGGGGGGGGGGAGAAGGGGCATTGCCAGTCTGTAAACCACCACAGGCCCCTCGCCCCAAGGAACCCCCACCCTGATCCAGGACATCCTTCAGGGCAAACCAGCCAGCCCCTACCTGTGCACCAGGCCTCTATCCTATCTAATAAAAGAGTAATATGCAGATTGGCCATCACTCCAACACACAAGATGGCCTCCTCCATGTGGCCACAAGATGGCCAGCAGTGGGGGGCAGTTGGGATGGACCAGGCCTGCAAGGGAGGGCAGTTAGGGATGATCAAGCCTTCAGGGGAGGGCAGTTAGGGGGGACCAAACCAGCAGAGGAGGGAAATTAGGGGGACCCAGGCCTACAGGGAAGGGCAATTGGGAGGGACCCAGGCCTGCAGGGGTGAGCAATTGGGGGGGGGGGGGGGGAGAACCAGGCCTGCCAGGGACAGCAGTTAGGGGCAAACAGGCTGGCAGTAGAGTGGTTAGGGGGTGATCAGGCTGGCAGGCAGAAGCAGTTAGGGCCAATCAGGAAGGCAGGCAGGCAAGCAATTGGGAGCCAGTAGTCCTGGATTGTGAGAGGGGACCCAGATTGGAGAGGGTGCGGGCTAAGCTGAGGGCACCCCTTCCATGCATGAATTTTGTGCACCAGGCCTCTAGTCTATACTAATAAAAGGGTAATATGCTAATTAGACCAGATAGACCGAACATCTCTGGTCATCCGGTCCTTCTTCCAGACAAAGCCATGGTGATGGGGGCCGAGGCAGAGATGGTTAGGGGCAATCAGGCAGGCAGGGTAAAGCAGTTAGAGGTGATCAGGCCAGCAGAGGAGGGCAGTTGGGGGTGACCAGGCCGACAGGCAGAAGCGGTTAGAGGCAATCAGGCAGGCAGGCAATCAGGTGAGCGATTAGGAGCCAGAGGTCCTGGATTATGAGAGGGATGTCCCAGATTGGAGAGGGTACAGTCTGGGCTGAAGGACCTCTTCCTCCCCTCCCCCCACCCAAAGCATGAATTTCATCCACCAGGCCTCTAGTTATATTCATATTTACAAATACTTTCTATTTCAGTTTGAAGGGAGGAAGTACTGTGAACATGATTTTCAGATGCTTTTTGCACCCTGCTGCCATCAGTGCGGTAAGTCTCACTGCTGACTGTAACATAAAAAGTTTCAAAGTTACTTACGGTGTTTAACACTACTGAAGTATCAATGATAAAAGTGAGGTTTAGTGCTCATTTGGAATAGCATTTAGGTACTTTATCTGTCCGCTTGCCTATCAGTCCTATATAATAAAACTCTAATATGCAAATCAACCAAATGGCTGAACCACCAGTTGCTATGACATGCACTGACCACCAGAGGGCAGGCGCTCAATGCTGGAGTTATCCTTTGGTGATTAATGTGCTCCCACAGGGGAGCACCACTCAGCCAGAAGCTGGGCTCATGGCTGGTGAGCACATCAGTGGTGGTGGGAGCCTCTCCTGTCTCCACTGCAGGCGGTCAGTAGGAAGAAGGGGTCCTGGACTGTGAGAGCCCCAGACTGTAAGAGGGATGTCTGACTAAGTCAGCAGTCAGACACCTCCCGAGGGGTCCTGGACTGTGAGAGGGCACATGCCGGGCCGAGGTACTATCCCCACCCCCACCCCCAAGCACGAATTTCATGCACTGGACCTCTGTAATATATAACAAACTGGAAGAGTATAAAAACCCAGAGAGAATTGATATTTAAGGACATCTAGTATAAAGTTATTTCAGGACTAACTGAGACTTATGTTAAATGAACACATTTATGGAATATTAATTTACCCTCTTGCTTTTGGCAGAGAAGATTGTCAGCGAGGTACATAGATGCTTAGAGATTGCCTATGGTTGGTTATACAGGTGCTGGACTGGCTTGCACCTTAGCTACTTCACTGGTTGCTAACAGCTCTTACTAGAAGGCCTCCAGAGATTGGAGAAACTGAGTTGAATGTTATAAAGGTTTAATGAAAGAAGAAATTAAGCCTAAGTTACAAGAAAATGAGCTGTGGATTTCAGTTTCTGTATCATTGATGGCCAGAAATTACTAAAAGGCATTCAAGAGATCTCAGTAATTGCTTGGGAAAAGAAAGGCAGATTCAGAGATGTAATAAGACAGCCCGAAAATATAGAATTAAAGAATCAAAAACAAGCACTCGGATGATATAGAAAATATTTTTCTAATATACTGTTATGGTATACACATACATAAAAATTTCCTTTTTGTGGAAAAAGATTTAAATGTATGTGTTTTTTTCCCTTTGCTGCTTTTAGCAATAAAATGCCACATTGGATATATTTTGTGTGTCTCTTTCACGCAGGTGAATTCATCATTGGCCGAGTTATCAAAGCCATGAATAACAGCTGGCATCCTGAGTGCTTCTGCTGTGACCTCTGCCAGGAGGTCCTGGCAGATATTGGATTTGTCAAGAATGCTGGGAGGTAGGAGTATTTTATCCTTGTCAAGTGTGGGTGAATAAAGTGACTACTACATGTCATGCATATTTTCTCATGGGGTGTGAGGCAGTGCTTCAGGACACCCAGTTTAAAACAGAAGAACTCAAACTGGTGTCTGTTAGGAGAGGGCCCTGGAGCTTCTGGGCAGCAGTGTTTGACTGCCATTTGTGTTCCTGGGCCTCACAAAAGGGGGACAAGTATTTAAAATTGAGTTTCTAAAATTAGTCAGAGTATTTGTGTTTTTCATATAAAAGGTAGTAGTCTGCTCTATTAAGTCAACAGTGATTTCTAAAGAGTTTCTTTAATTTCTTTTGAGAGAAATGGGAAGCATATTTCTTTTTCTCTCCGCCCCCCTTTTTTTCTTTCTTTTCTTTATCGGCACATTTCATTTTAGTTATTAGGAAGGACCTTAGATTTTAAATTTAAGTTTTTAAAAAAGTTTTGGCTCTGTTTAGGCATCTGTGTCGCCCCTGTCATAATCGTGAGAAAGCCAGAGGCCTTGGAAAATACATCTGCCAGAAATGCCATGCCATCATTGACGAGCAGCCTCTGATATTCAAGAACGACCCTTATCATCCAGACCACTTCAACTGTGCCAACTGCGGGTATTGCGATTTCTTTGTTACTGCACCATAGAGAAGATGAAGGATAACATTTATCTGTATTTCTGTTACTCCAGCAAACCAAATTTGTTTTTCTCCAAGTTTTAATCTGGGAAATTTTCAACCTACAGCAAAGTCAAGAGAATAATATAAAAAAATACCTACATACCCTTAATGTAGTTTCATCAGTTAATATTTTACCACAGTCTGCATATACAGACTTTGAAGTAATTATAGACCATATTAAAATATCCTCAATCATCCAAAAACTGTTTTCCAAAAAAGGATTAATAATTAAAAAAAAAAAGCTTAGAAAGTCTTATCTTTGTACATGTATAACTTTTGCATTTGTAATAATTAGGGTGTTATCTCAAAATATCTAAAATTCTATCTAAAGGTGTTTTGTTTTTTTCCTTCAAAAACTCATGATATATTGAATATGAATGTACATGCTAAATTGTAGTAGGGAAAACAAGGTAGGCTCAGGGTCAAGCAAACTGCTTTGCAGTATAAAAACAGTCACCTCATCTTTTTTGTGATTATCAGTTTGTGCCTTTTCTGCTTTTCTTGCCTATCCTTGCTCTAGTGCAGTGGTCTGCAAACTCATTGGTCAACAGAGCCAAATATCAACAGTACAATGATTGAAATTTCTTTTGAGAGCCAAATTTTTTAAACTTAAACTATATAGATAGGTACATTGTTATTAACTTAATTGGGGTACTCTTAGGCTGGCCTTCGCTAAAAATTCAAGGGGCCAAAGAGCCACATGTGGCTCTTGAGCCACAGTTTGCCAGTCACTGCTCTAAAGGAATATTTTTTTCACTTTTGGTTAGCACTTTAAATAATTATTTAAACAGATAAAATTCAAATAAGTCCATTTGGCTAATTGGAGCTATCTGTGTTTATTGACACAGGGGACAGAAAATAATAGCATACGTAAGCATTTGGAAACAGAAAATTCTGGTCATTTCATTTATTTATTTATTAACCTGTAACTATTCTTAAAAGCTTATCATGGTTTAAATAATTAGCATTAATGGAACTAATCTCCAAACTCCTTGATTATTTTGGGAATAATGTCACTGAGTCTATCCTCAGTATTGTTATTATCCGCTAGCTTTTTAAGGAAGACAAATGGACTATAATGTGATAAAGACAAATAAATGATAGCTAATGTCTAGTGTGATAATATGTATTTTACTTACTTATACACTTTTGCATTAGTGATGTTTTGATAGGAATCTGAAACCTATTCAAACCTATTAACTCATGTTACGCTGATTGCCAGGAGGGAAAAGAAGTTATAGAAATTGTTATAGTGAAAACTTCAAAAATCTCATAAAAATGTTAGTCATATTGTTGCCCGTTTGTTTCCCTCCTGATGATATTCAGTTGGCTATCTTTCTCATGGGCAGGAAGGAGCTGACTGCTGATGCCCGGGAGCTGAAAGGAGAACTGTATTGCTTGCCATGCCATGATAAAATGGGGGTTCCCATCTGTGGTGCTTGTCGGCGCCCCATTGAAGGGCGTGTGGTCAATGCCATGGGCAAACAGTGGCATGTGGAGGTGAGTTCTACATGCATAATGTAGGGGCAACCAGTACTTTTTAATTTCATTGGTTCAGGTGTGTTAACAAGATTAGGAGGTTTTAAAAATTAAATGTGAACATTTTAAAGACAACTGCCTTTGTAGAAAATTAGGAATATAGAATATACACAAGAGCTTTTGTGAGCTCTTGGTAATGATAAAGGATGTGCTCTTCTGTTCTTAAATCTTCTAGCCCTGGCTTGTGTGGCTTAAGGGGTTCACTGGAAGGTTGCAGGTTTGACTCCCGGTCAGATCACATGCCTGGTTGCAGACTCAATCCCCAGTGTGGGTTGTGCAGAAAGCAGCCCATTGATGTTTTACTCTCACATTGTTTCTCTCTCCCTTTCCCTGTCTAATAATAATAATGATAATGATGAATCTTTTTTTGAAAGTTTCATTTATATTTAGATAATTGAAAGCAAATTTTTTCCTTTTTCCTTTTTATTTTTTAATTTAATAAATCTTTATTGTTCAAATTATTGCAATTGTTTCTCCTCCCCCTACTCCCCTTAGCTACCCTCCACCCGGTCCCCACCCCATCCTCTGCCCTTACCTCCCCACCGCTGTCCTCATCCATAGGTTTTTTTGTCCAGTCTCTTCCTGTACTCCCCACACAGGCACCCCTTTCCCCCTGAGAATTATCAATACCCTCCCATTCTATGCCTCTGATTCTATTATATTCACCAGTTTATTCTGTTCCTCAGATTTTTAATTCACTTGACTTTTAGATTCACTTGATAGATATGTATTTGTTGTTCATAATTTTTATCTTTACTTTTTCTTCTTTTTCCTTTTTTAAAGCATACCTTTCAGCATTTCATATAATACTGGTTTGGTGGTGATGAACTCCTTTAGCTTTTTCTTATCTGTGAAGCTCTTTATCTGCCCTTCAATTCTGAATGATAACTTTGCTGGGTAGAGAAATCTTGGTTGAAGGTTCTCGCTATTCATCACTTTGAATATTTCTTGCCATGCCTGCATAGTTTCTTGGAGAAATCAACTGATAGTCATATGGGTGCTCCCTTATAGGTAAGTAACTGTTTTTCTTTTGTTTCTTGTAAGATTCTCTCTTTGTCTTTTGCCCTTGGCATTTTAATTATGATGTGTCTTGGTGTGGTCCTCTTTGGATTCCTCTTGTTTGGGGTTCTGTGCGCTTCCTATACTTGTAAGTCTATTTCTTTCACCAGGTGTAGGAAATTTTCTGTCATTTTTCTTCAAATAGGTTTTCAGTATCTTGCACTCTCTCTTCTTCTGGCACCCCCATAATTCTGATGTTAGTACGTTTGAAGTTGTCCCAGAGGCCTCTTACACTATCTTCAACTTTCTGGATTCATTTCTCTTCTTGCTTCTTCAGAGGAGTGTCCTTTGCCTCTTTGTTTTTTATTTTATTTATTTATTTATTTATTTTAATATATATTTTATTGATTTTTTTACAGAGAGGAAGGAAGAGAGATAGCTAGAAACGTCGATGTGAGAGAAACATCGACCAGCTGCCTCCTGCACAACCCCCACTGGGGATGTGCCCGCAACCAATGTACATGCCCTTGACCAGAATCAAACCTGGGACCCTTCAGTCCACAGACTACTGAGTCAAACCGGCCTCGGCTCATCAATATTTCTAACTCTTTATCTCTCTTTCTTCCTCACTGTAAAAAATCAATAAAATGTATTTTTAAAAATTTATCGGCCTTTTCTAGGAAATTCTTGAAAAAACTTATACCGGTGGTTTTGAACTCTATGTCCAGTCATTTGTGCATGATTTCTTTCATTTGTGGTCTGTTTCCTTGGCTTCTCATTTTTGCTGCTTCCCTGAGTTGGTAGGGTAGCTTTGTGTGCCAAGTGTCCTATATGATTCAATGGGTCAGCCTCCCAGTTACCTGAGGTGGACATTCTTGGTGCACCCCTTTGTGGACTGTGTGTACAGACTTGTTGTAGTTAAGTCTTGACTATTGTTGGTGTCACTGGGAGGAATTGACCTCCAGGCCAATTGGCTGTGAGGACCCGCTGTGTCTATAACAGAAGAATTGCTTTGCTGGAGACACATTTATGGTGCAGGACTTGTTCCAGTAGGGCTTTGGTGCTCACTGAGTCTGCCTCTTGAATGTGTCTCTTATGAGAGTAGTTGAAATCTGATGTCGTTTCACACCATCCACTAGATACACTAGTTTCTGGATCTCCAATGGGGTGTAGTTCAGCTACTGTCTGAGGCCACCCAGCAGGAGCTACAGCAAGAACTACAATTTTTTTCTCTTTGCTTGGAATTTGGTGGTTTTGGAGCAGTTTGACTGTTGCTGCAGTTTATTTGGTTAGGCCATTTATATGCAAAAGCTGCTGTGTAGAGCCTGGGTGGGTTTGTAGAACGTGCAGGACGTGGCTTCAGGGCGGGGTGAGGTCTCAAGGAGTAACTAGGCTAGGGCATGGCAAACAGCTATGGCTGCCATCAGCCATTTCTGCCTTTCCACATTTCCAAGTCCCCAGTGCAGTAAACAATGATTGCTACACGCACCTCTGCAAAAAACTGACCTGATGGCCGACAGACTAGCTTTTCCCCGTAGGTGTCTGGGTCCCCCGAATGTCCCCAGAAACTGAATTTCAAAGTGATTGGGAGCTTGTGTCCCTTCGGGTTGGAAAAAAGCCGTGTGCTCAGTTGCCTGCCACCAGCCCGATTCACGTGCCTCCATACCTAGGCTTTTCAGTGTTTATGCTCCATTCTCTTCCCCTTTGGTTATAAGATTTCCATTCACCAGGTTTGCCATAGTTCTGGGTGGTAGATGTTTTGTCTTTTAGTTGTATTTTTGAAATTATTGTGCAAGGTGGCAGTTCAGTTGTTTACCTACGCTGCCATCTTGGTTTCTGGCTGAAGGCAATTTTTATTGTTGTCATTCTATAAAGCCTTCTTTTTTCCCAATTAACCCCCCACTCCCTGCCACTCCCATCCCTCAGGACAAGCCCCCATTGCCCCAGTGTCTATGTCCATTGGTTATGCTAATATACAAGTCCTTTGGTTGAACTCTAACCTCCCCTCTTCCCTTGCCTTCTCTCTGAGTTTGGACAGTCTGCAGTGTTACCTTGTCTCTGGATCTATTTTTGTTCATCCGTTTATGTTCATTATATCCCACATATGAGTGAGATCATGTTATATTTGTCTTTCTCTGACTGGCTTGTTTTGCTTAGCATAGTGTTCTCTAGTTCCATCCATACTCTTGCAAGTTTTAAAAGTTCCTTCTTTTTTTATAGCAGCGTAATATTCCATTGTGTAGATGTACCACAGTTTTCTAATCCACTCATCTGCTGATGGGCACTTAGGCTCTTTCCAAATCTTAGCTATGGTAAATTGTGCTGCTATAAAAATAGGGATGCATATATGCTTTCTGGTTGGTGTTTCTGATTTCTTAGGATATATTCCTAGAAGTGGATGAAATAGAAGTTCCATTTTTAATTTTTTGAGGAAACTCCATACTGTCTTCACAGTGGCTGCACTAGTCTGCATTCCCACCAGCAGTGCACAAGGGTTCCTTTTTCTCCACATCCTCACCAGCACTTCTCGTTTGTTGATTTGTTGATGATAGTCAATCTGACAGGTGTGAGATGGTACCTCATTGTTGTTTTGATTTGAATCTCTCGATGATTAGTGACTTTGAACATATTTTCATGTTTCTTGGCCTTCTGTATTTCCTCTTTCAAAAGGTGTCTATTTAGGTCCTTTGCCCATTTTTTGAGTGGATTTTTTATCTTCCTTTTGTTATGTTATATGACTTTCGTGTAAATTTTGGAAGTTAAACTCTTACCTGAGATAGCATTGGCAAATATGTTCTCCCATGCAGTGGCCTTGTTCTTTTGTTGATGGTTTCTTTTTGCAGAAGCTTTTATTTTGATGTAGTCCTATTTGTTTATTTTCTCCTTAGTTTCCATTATTTAGGAGCTAAATAAAGATAGTACTACAATGTACGTCTGATATTTTGCTACCTATGGAGTCTTACAAGATTTGTATGGTTACCGTCTTACATTTAAGTCATTTAACCATTTTTGAGTTTATTTTTGTGTGTGGTGTATGTTGGTGGTCTGGTGTGTTTTTTTGTTTGTTTTTGGGGTTTTTTTTGCATGAATCTGACCAATTTTCCCATCACCATTTGTTGAAGAGACTGTCTTGACTCCATTGTATGCTCTTGATATCTGGTATTGTGACCCCTTCAAATTTATTCTTCTTTCTCTGGATTTCTATGGCTACTCGGGGTCTTTTTATATTCCAGTTGAATTTTTGGAGAGTTTGTTCTAGGTCTATAAAATATGCCGTTGGTATTTTAATGGAAATTGCATTGAATCTATAAATTGTTTGGGGGTAATATGGACATTTTAATGATGTTAATTCTACCAATCCATTCATATGGTATGTTGTTCCATTTGTTTATATCTTCCTCTATCATTTTTCAATGTCCTGTAGTTTTTTTGAGTATAGGTCTTTTATCTCCTTGGTTACGTTTATTCCTAGGTATCTCAAAAATTTTTTTGGTACAGTGGTAAATGGGATTTTTTTTAGTTTCTCTTTCTGTGAGTTCACTATTGGTGTATAAAATTAGCACCCATCGATTTCTGGGTGCTAATTTTGTATCCTGCTACATTGCCAAATTCATTTATTAAATCTAGTAGTTTTTTGATGGAGTCTCAGGAGTTTTCTATGTACAGTATCATGTCATCTGCAAATAAGGACAGTTTTACTTCTTTTCCAATTTGGAAGTCTTTTATTTCTTCTTGTCTGATCACTATGGCTAGCAATTCCAGTATTATGTAGAACAGGAGTGGTGAAAGTGGCCATCCCTGTCTTGCTCCTGTTTTTAGGGGAAATAGTTTTTTTTATATATATATATATTTTTTTTAATTAAATTATTATTTTTGTACATATACCAATGCGGCCCCCCCCCCCATATATACCCTCCCTCCCCAGAGTTTTGTGTCCATTGCATGTATACAAGTCCTTCGGTTGATCTCTTATCTCCCCCAGATCTCCCCAACCTCCCCGTTGTAATTTGACAGTCTAGTTGTTGCTTTACTATCTCTATATCTATCTTTTGGTTCTTCAGTTTATAATGTTCTTTATCATCCATAAATAAGTGAGGTCATGTTGTGTCTCTCTTTCATTGACTGGCTTGTTTCACTCAGCATGATGTTCTCCAATTCCATCCAGGTTGTTGCAAACGATGAGAATTTTTTCTTTTTTATGGCTGCATAATATTCCATTGTGTAAATGTACCATAGTTTTTGGATCCAATCATCTGCTGATGGGCACCTAGGCTGTTTCCAAATCCTAGCTATTGTAAATTGTGCTGCTATGAACATAGGGGTGCATATATTATTTCTGATTGATGTTTCTAGCTTCTTGGGATATATTCCTAGGAGTGGGATTGCTGGGTCAAATGGGAGTTCCATTTTCAGTTTTTTGAGGAAGCTCCATACAGTTCTCCACAGTGGTTGCACCATTCTACATTCCCACCAGCAATGCACTAGGGTTCCTTTTTCTCCGCAACCTCGCCAACACTTGTCGTTTGTTGATTTGTTGATGTTGGCCATTCTGACAGGTGTGAGATGGTACCGCATTGTTGTTTTGATTTGCATTTCTCAGATAATTAGTGACTTTGAGCATGTTTTCATGTGCCTCTTGGTCTTCCTTCTGTCTTCTTTTGAGAGGATTCTATTTAGATCCATTGCCCATTTTTTAATTGGGTCATTTATCTTCCTTTTATTAAGTTGTGTAAGCTGTCTGTAGATGTTGGAGATTAAACCTTTATCAGTGATAACATTTGCAAATATGTTCTCCTATACAGTAGGCTTTCTTGTTATTTTGTTGATGGTTTCCTTTGCTGTAAAAAAAAGCTTTTTATTTTGATGTAGTCCCATTTGTTTATTTTCTCTTTAGCTTCCATTGCCCTAGGGGAAGTATCAGTGAAGAAATTCTTTTGGCATATGTCTGAGATTTTGCTGCCTGTGGATGCCTCTAGTATTTTTATGGTTTCCCATCTTATGTTTAAATCCTGTATCCATTTTGAGTTTATTTTTGTGTATGGTGTAAATTGGTGATCCAGTTTCATTCTTTTGCATGTATCTGTCCAATTTTCCCAACACCATTTATTGAAGAGACTGTCTTGACTCCATTGTATGTTTGTGCCTCCTTTGTCAAATATTAACTGAGCATAGTGATTTGGGTTGATATCTGGGTTCTCAGTTCTATTCCATTGATCTATATGTCTGTTCTTGTGCCAGTACCAGGCTGTTTTGAGAACAATGGCTTTGTAATACAGTTTGAAATCTGGTATTGAAATCCCTCCTACTTTACTCTTCTTTCTCAGGATTGCTGTGGCTATTTGGGGTCTTTTGTTGTTCCAAATGAACTTTTGAAGAGTTTTTTCTAGATCAGTGAAATATGCCGTTGGTATTTTAATTGGGAGTGCATTGAACCTATAGATTGCTTTGGGAAGTATGGACATTTTGATGATGTTGATTCTACCAATCCATGAACATGGTTTGTTCTTCCATCTGTTTACATCTTCCTCTATCTCTTTTTTCAGTGTCGTGTAGTTTTCTGTGTATAGGTCTTTTACCTCCTTAGTTAAGTTTATTCCTAGGTATCTCAATTTTTTTGGTGCGATGGTAAATGGGATTGCCTTTTTAGTCTCTGTTTCTGCAAGTTCACTATTGGTGTATAGAAATGCCTTAGATTTCTTGGCGTTAATTTTGTATCCTGCTACATTGCCAAATTCATTTATTAAATCAATTAGTTTTTTAATGGAGTCTTTTGGGTTTTTTATGTACAATATCATGTCATCTGCAAATAAGGATAACTTTATTTCTTCTTTTCCAATTTGGATGTCTTTTATATCCTCTTCTTGTCTAATTGCAATGGCTAGTACTTCCAGTACTATGTCAAACAGGAGTGGTGAGAGTGGGCAACCCTGTCTTGTTCCTGTTCTTAAACGGAATGGTTTTAGTTTTTGCCCATTGAGTATGATGTTGGCTGTGGGTTTATCATATATAGCTTTTATTATGTTGAGGTATTATCCTTGTACTCCCACCTTGTTGAGAGTTTTTATCAGGAAAGGGTGTTGGATTTTATCAAATGCTTTTTCTGCATCAATTGATATGACCATATGATTTTTATCTTTCAATTTGTTTATGTGATGTATCACGTTTATTGATTTGCGGATATTGTACCATCCTTGCATTCCTGGAATAAATCCTACTTGATCGTGGTGTATGATCTTTGTGATGCTCTGCTGGAGCCGATTTGCTAGAATTTTGTTGAGGATTTTGGCATCTATGTTCATAAGGGATATTGGCCTGTAATTCTCTTTCATTGAGTTGTCTTTATCTGGTTTTGGTATTAGGGTGATGCTGGCTTCATAGAAGGAGTTTGGAAGTGTTCCTTCCTCTTGGATTTTTTGGAATAGTCTGAGGAGGATAGGTTTTAGTTCTTCCTTGAATGTTTGGTAAAACTCTCCTGTGAAGCCCTCTAGCCCTGGGCTTTTCTTTGCTGGAAGCTTTTTGATGACTGTTTCAATTTCTTCCCAAGTTACTGTTCTATTTAGGTTTATAGATTCTTCCTGATTGAGTTTTGGAAGGTTGTATTTCTCTAGGAATATGTCCATTTCCTCCAGGTTGTTCAGTTTGTAGGAATAGAGTTATTCGTAGTATTTTGTAACAATCCTTTGTATTTCGGCGGGGTCTGTTGTAATTTCACCTCTTTCGTTTCTGATTTTGTTTATTTGGGTCCTCTCTCTTTGTTTCTTGGTTTGCCTGGCTAGAGGTTCATCTATCTTGTTTATCCTTTCAAAGAACCAGCTCTTGGTTTTGTTGATCTTATGTATTGTTTCTTTGGTCTCTATGTCGTTTATCTCCATTCTAATTTTTGTTATTTCCTTCCTTCTGCTTACACTGGGCTTTTCTTGTTGCTCTTTTTCTAATTCTTTGAGTTGTAGAGTTAGATCATTTGTTACCATTTTTTCTAGTTTTTTGCAATAGGCTTGTAGGGATATGAACTTGCCTCTCAAAACTGCTTTTGCTGTGTCCCATAGATTTTGGATTGTTGTGGTTTCATTGTCATTTGTTTCCAGGATGTTTTTAATTTCTTCCTTGATTTCTCTGGTAACCCAGTCCTTGTTTAATAGCATGCTGTTTAGTCTCCATGTGTTTGATTTCTTTGGATTATTTTTATTGTAGTTAATTTCCAGTTTTATGCCATTATGATCTGAGAAGATGCTTGATATGATTTCTATCTTCTTGAACTTGAAGAGACTTTGCCTATGTCCCAAAATTTGGTCTATCTTTGAGAATGTCCCATGTGCACTTGAGAAGAATGTATATTCTGCTTTGGGGTGGAATGTTCTGAAGATGTCAATTAATTCCATCTGGTCTAGTGAGTCATTTAGGATTGATATTTCTTTGATTTTTTTGTTTAGATGATTTGTCAAAGGATGACAGTGGGGTTTTAAAATCTCCTACTATGATTGTATTGCTATTAATCTCTCCCTTAATGTCCTCCAGCAGTTTTTTTTTTTTTTTTTTAATGTATTTGGGTGCTCCTGTATTGGGTGCACATATATTTACCAGGGTTATTTCTTCTTGTTGGATTGCTCCCTTTAGTATTATGATGTGGCCTTCATTATCTCTTGTTATGTCCTTCACTCTGAGAACTAATTTGTCAGATATAAGTATTGCTACCCCAGCTTTTTTTTCATTTCATTGCCTGGAAAACCTTTTTGCATCCCTTCACCCTGTCTGTGTGCATCTTTTTTTCTGAGGTGGGTTTCTTGTAGACAACAGATGTATGGGTCTTGTTTTCTTATCCAATTTGTTACCCTATGTCTTTTGATTGGAGCATTTAAACCATTTACATTTAATGTTACTAATCATTTGACGCCATTTTTATTCTATACCCCTGTGTTCCTTCTTCGCTTCCTATTTCTTTATTTTTACAGTAGACCCTTTTGCATTTTTTGCATTGCTGGTTTGGTCGAGATAACTTTTTTTAGTCTTTTTTTTGTCTGTGAAGCTCCTGATTTCACCTTCAATTTTGATTGATAGCCTTGCTGGGTACAGTATTCTTGGATTCAAACCCTTTCTTTGCATGACTTTGTATATTTCATCCTATTCATAGGGGAAATAGTTTTAGTTTTTACCCATTGAGTATGATGTTATCTGTAGGTTTATCATATATAGCTTTTATTATGTTGAAGTATGATCCCTCTATTTCCACTTTGCTGAGAGTTTTTATTAGGAAGGAGTGTTGGATTTTGTCAAATTCTTTTTCTGCATTGATTGATGTGATTATGTGATTTTTGTCTCTCAATTTGTTTATGATAATAATTCTTGTTGAGGTAGAAAGTGCCCTGGCTTACAGATGCCACTCAGACGTTCACCTGTTTTCTCACTGTGTGATGTTTGAATAGGCCGGGTCTTAGAGTAATTTGTCAGACATCTGAAGTAAAAATGAAAGGGCTACAGAAGAACCCATGGCCATATGAAACGGCTGCTTCAAGCCTATATGTATCATCTTTGAGAATAGTGTAACTTTGGAGTTTTATTTCACTTAATAACTAAAATATAGCAATTCAAAAATGACCTGTAGCAATTTTTTTTCAGCATTTTGTTTGCGCCAAATGTGAAAAACCATTTCTTGGACATCGCCATTATGAAAGGAAGGGCCTTGCATATTGTGAAACCCACTATAACCAGGTATTATTTCTACTCATTGGATACTAGATATACTTTTATGAATTTAAGCTTGTCAATATTTTAGTTACAAGAAATCACTTAGAAAAAAAATTTTCCACTTCAATACTATACCCAGTCTTGGGTTGTCATGTTCATTTACCTTCCTTATATATGGAACAGCTCCAGAGATTTTTTTGGTTTTGATAGTGATGAAAAAAATTAGTCCATGAACTGCTACTCATCAACTGTAATAATGGTAAAATCTGGACTTAGTAAGCCAGCTATTTGTTTTTAAATAATAGAAAGAACCAAATTTTGTTAAATGTTTGGTGTTTTAAAACTTAGTTCTGACACTTCTTGAATTTGTACCTTTTTTCATTTTTCAGCTATTTGGTGATGTTTGTTTCCACTGCAACCGTGTTATAGAAGGTGATGGTGAGTAACCATAGGAATTTTATATAACACCATTTTGATACAAAAACACTTGAAAATTGTGAAAATTGAAAGAAATTGATTGCTATAATTTGGAATGTGATTATTGTCAGTTACTTTTTCTCTTTATTTGGTATATTTCCCAAGTAATTTACAGCAATGAGATGATAATGGCCTAAGCATTGGATTTGTTACTCATTTATGATAATACTTTAGGCTAATTCCATAAAGTTTGTTAACTAGGAAGTGCAGAAAGCATTTATGGCCAACCCTGAAACCTATGTCTCGTTCTTTTCCCTAGAACTATATAACTTGGAAGCTGTAGAGCAGTGTTTATTAAGAAATGTTTAATCTGCACGGTAGTCAGGAAGACTCAACTTTAACCTTGCAGATGCTAAAACCTGGCAGTTACCTATAGACATTTCTAAGTCTTGTACTGGGGTAATTAGGCACACCTGATGGCCTAGAACTGAAAGCAGCTGTGTTTGGTAATAGTTGCTAGCACAGCTCTGCCAGACATTTATTGTCAAGGTTTTAAACATCCCTGTTTTCAGCATGCTTCATGGTTCTCGGGCATACTTGCTGAAATAATGCTCATATGTGGTTTGCAAAAGGGTTAGTTCAAGAAAGTAATCTTAGTGCTATTGAAAATAAAAGTTCTTCCTACATGGGATGGTTACCAGATGAAAGAAGCTGTCAAAGGAAGCTCTTAGCTTTAAAAGAAACACAGCTATAGATGAATACATTAATGTCTGGCTTTTTCTTTAATTACTTCTCTAGTCCATATTTCTTTGTTTGATCAGTGGCAATAGGGATAGAAAAGTAGTAGAAAGTGTACTGGTAGGCAAGCATTATGTGCAAAAAGCTCGTCTGAGTGATGTAATAATGCATGTTATGTACACACTGCATTGTCCACAGGAGTGAGAAGACTTAAGCTGTGGTGTATCTTCATACCACATAGCATTTACTATATATGCCTCATAGGATACTCAAGAGAAAGAAAAAGCTACTTACCCACAAATAAAGGTTGATGTGCAGTTTCCTAAATTCATGCCTTCAGTGAGTAAGTGAAACTTAGTCAAGCATTTTTAAGAGACACAGAGTAGTAAAAATTAACTCATAAAGTTTCAATACAGAAAAAGTAGATGTCTATGTATATTCTTTAAAAATACAAGTTAAAAAGGGCAATAATAGCCCTGGCTGGCATGGTTTAGTGGTTAGACCATTGACCTGTATACCAGATGGTCTAGGGTTCTATTCCTGGTCTAGGGTACGTACCTGGGTTGCATGTTTGATCCCCATCTCCATTCAGGGCATGTGTTGGAGACAACCAATTTCTCTCTCACACATTGATGTTTCTGCCCTTTCCCCTCCCTTCCACTCTTTTTTTTAAATCAAGGGAAAAAAATATCATCACTTTTCTGGTGAGGATTAAAACACACACACACACACACACACACACACACACACACACACACACACACAAAGAGCCTGGCTGGCATGGCTCAGTAATTGAGCATCAACCTATGAACCAGGAGGCCAAAGTTCAATTCCCAGTCAGGGCACATACCTGGGTTATGAGCTTGATCCCCAGAAGGGGTTGTGCAGGAGGCACCCAATCATTGATTCTCTCTCATCATTGATTCTTTCTCATCATTGATGTTTCTTTCTCCCTCTCCTTTCCTCTCCAGGGGGGAAAAAAAGAAAAAGAACAAAAAAAATACATACACACACACAAATACACATACTAGAAGCCTAGTGCACAAAATTCATTCACGGGGGAGGGGTGTCCTTAGCCCATTCTATATCCTCTCCAATCTGGGACTCCTCAAGGGATACCTGACTGCCCTTTCACAATCCAGGACTGCCTAAATGCTTGCCTGCTACCTTCCTGATTGCCCCTAACAACTTCTGCCTGCCAGCCTGATCACCCCCTAACCACTCCCATGCCAGCCTAATTGGTTTAACTGCTTCCCTGTCAGCCTGTTTGCCCCCAACTTCCCTCCTCTGCCAGCCTGGTCACTGCTAACTGCCCTCCCCTGCAGACTTGATACTCCCAACTCACTCCCTTGCAGGCCTGGTGCTTCCCAACTGTCCTTCCCTGCTGGCCATCTTATGTGTTGGAATGATGGCCAATCTGTATAATACTCTTTTATTAGATAGGATAGAGGCCTAGTGTGTGGGTGGGGGCCAGCTGGTTTGCCCTGAAGGGTGTCTCAGATCAGGGTGGGAGTTCCCTTGGGGTGTGGGGCGGCCTGGGTGAGGGGCCTGTGGTGGTTTGTGAGTCAGCCACGCCCCCCCAGCGACCCACCCAAACGGAAGCCCTGGTGTCTGGGCTTTATTTATCTTCTATAATTGAAACTTTGTAGTCTGGTGTGGAGCAAAGCCTTCTGCTCTCTCCGTGGCAGCAGCCATTTCTGTTGGGATTTATGTATCTTCTATAACTGAAACTTCGTAGCCTTAAGCGAAGGCCTAGGCTGGGGAGGGTTGCAGAAGCTTGGCTTCCTCCATCGACGGGGACACCCAAGCCTCCCTCCCGCTCTGTGGATGCAGCCATCATGGTTGGGTTGATTTGCACACTCGCTCCTGATTGGTTGGTGGGCGTGAGTTAGTGTAGCAGAGTGATGGTTAATTTGCATATTACTCTTTTTCAGATCACACACACACACACACACACACACACACACACACGAGGCTTGGTGCATGAAATTCGTGCACTGGGGGTAGGAGGGTGTCCCTCAGTCCAGCCTGCATCCTCTCCAATCTGGAACCCTTCAGGGGTGTCTGACTGCCCGTTTAGGCCTGATTATCCCTCTCACAATCCAGGACCGCTGGCTCCCAACAGCTCACCTGCCTGCCTGATTGATCACTCCTTAACAACTCACCTGCCAGCTTGATCAATTCCCAACAGGTCCCTTGCCAGCCCAATTGCCCCTAACTTCCCTTCCCTGCTGGCTGGTCACCCCTAACTATCCTCCCCTGCTAGCCCCATCATCCCTAACAGTCCTCCCCTACCGACCCATTTGCCCCTAACTGCTTTCCCCTGCAGGCCTGTCCTCCCCTGCTGGCTATCTTGTGGAGGCCATCTTGTGTCCACATGGGGACAGCAATCTTGTGTGTTGGGCTGATGGTCAATTTGCATATTGCCTCTTTTTTATATAGGTTTTTTTTATTTTATTTAATTTTTACAGAGAGGAAGGGAGAGAGAGAGAGCTAGAAACGTCAATGAGAGAGAAACATCGACCAGCCGCCTCTTGCACACCCCCCACTGGGGATGTGCCCACAACCAATGTACATGCCCCTGACCGGAATCGAACCTGGGACCTTTCAGTCCACAGACCGACGTTCTACCACTGAGCCAAATGGGTTTCGGCTGTTTTTTTTGTTTTTAAAAAAAGAATGAAAAAGGAAAGGGCAATAATGACTTTTCTTAAGATGAAGCCTACAGTCATGGAAGATAAATATTGAGTTCGTATGATTTTAATGTGAAAAAAAATAAATTAATAAAATTGACTGATTACCCTTGACCGGTTTGGCTCAGTAGATAGACTGTCAGCCTTCGAACTGAAGGTTCCCGGATTCAATTCCAGTCAATAGCATGTACCTTGGTTTCAGGCACATCCCCAGTAGTGGGTGTGTAGGAGGCAGCTGATCGATATTTCTAACTCTCTATTCTTCTCCCTTCCTCTCTGTAAAAAATAAATAAAAAATATATTTTTTTAAAGTTGATTGATTCAATAAATATTAATGACACTAAAGTTTTTAGCTATGTGGTTCTTTTGCAAGCAAATCTCTTGAGAACCTCTGCCAGGTGTCTTGGAAATAACCTTAATTCTCTTTTAGGTTTGAAAATGTGACCTCCCCACTTCCCATACCAGTATGTCACCAGATGTCTTTTCTCTTTCTCTAGTGGTCTCCGCTCTTAACAAGGCCTGGTGTGTGAACTGTTTTGCCTGTTCTACCTGCAACACTAAATTAACACTCAAGTAAGTATACATTTTGATCCAGTGTGCATCCTAACACTGAAAACTTTGGGGTAACATTTTTTAAAACAATATAAATTTTAAAAACAGGATTATTTGATCCCTTTTTTCTTCTTTCTATTCAGGCCTTCTGAAAGTAAAAGTTCTTCCTTTAATTGTTCCCTGTTCTTTCTTCTATTCCTTCTTTGTCCTGCTCAAAGGGATAAGTTTGTTGAAATTGATCTAAAACCAGTCTGCAAACACTGTTATGAGAAAATGCCAGAAGAATTTAAGCGGCGACTTGCCAAACGGGAGAGAGAAGCAAAGGATAAGGACAAGCAGAAAAAGAAAAAGCCTGTCTGTCTGTAAACTTTCTATCCCTTCTGTCATTTTCACAACTTTCTTCTTTTCTTAGTCCTTTGGAATATGTTTTTATCTTTTACATTTCTTTTTGGTGTGTATTGTAAATGCTAGAGAGTAAAATACAAGTATGTCCTGTGTAAAGTTGGTCCTTTTATATAATTCTTAAAATTATAGAGCTTAAATTAATTAGGCTCACACTTACTACCAGTTTGTACTTCCTTTATTTCCCTTAATCTGTAAATACCCTCATCTCTTTTTTTAATTATAATATGGAATGGATTTCTCTCTTTTTGTTTAATTGATTCAAAGGGAAGAATTTCCATCTCTTGATACTGGAAGTTTTAAAGTACTTTTGTCTGATAATTGTAGCTTTTAAAATCCTGGTTTGGGGTTTCTTTGCCTAAATTTACTTAATTGATAGAGTCTGAGACTCATGTTCTAAGTTCTGTAATAAATTAAGTTCTTTCAGTGTGCTTCAGATCTAAGCAAACAACCATAATGTACATAATAAGATATGTACTGTCTTTGGTGTATGTACAGGGTGGGGCAAAAGTAGGTTTACAGTTCATATGGAAAATAATACAATAATAAATAATAAGAATAAACTCTTTTTGCTGCTCACAGCTGTAAACCTCCTTTTGTCTCACCTGGTATGTGTGCTTTCATATGATGCCCATATGCTACTGTTAATGAATTATTTTTCTAGATATTTCTAAACTCTGTTTCTGATTTTTATGAGAAATATTTCAATTTGAAATTCTGTTGAATTGTTAGCATAATTATTCCATGTTTTCTTTGTGGGTACCATTGTGTTTTAAGTTCGTCATTTTTTAAAGTTTTCATGTTTCTTTGTACAAAGAGGAGTTAAAATTCAAATATGAGACTAAAACAATGGAGTGGCCCTGGCCAGTGTGGCTCAATGGGTTGGTTGTTGTCCCATGCACCAAAAGGTCGCAATTCGATTCCTGGTCAGGGGACGTGCCCAGGTTGTGGGCTCCATCCAGAGTGGGGAGCATTCAGGAGGCAGCTGATTGATATTGCACTCTCACATGATGTTTCTCTCCCTTTCTTTCTGAAAATCCATAAATTATTATTTTTTTTTAATGAAGATTTGCTTAGCAGTATCTTCAAAAGCAGTGATAATTTCCTACAATTTAAAAAAAGAATGGCCTAGCTAGTGTGGCTCAGTGGTTGAGCATCTACCTATGAACCAGGAGATCCTGATTCAATTCCAGGTCAGGGCACATGCCTAGGTTGCAGGCTCACCCAGTGGGGGGCATGCAGAAGGCAGCCGATCAATGCCTCTCCCTCATCATTGATCTTTTTCTCTCTCCGTCTCCCTTCCTCTTTGAAATCAATAAAAATGTTAAAAAAAAAAAAAATCGCCCTGACTGGTTTGACTCAGTGGATAGAGTGTCCGCATGCAGACTGAAAGGTCCCAGGTTCAGTTCCAGTCAAGGGCATGTGCCTTGGTTGCAGGCACATCCCCGTAGGAGGTATGCAGGATGCATCTGATCAATGTTTCTCTCTCTTCGATATTTCTAGCTCTCTATTCCTCTCCCTTCCTCTCTGTAAAAATGCAATAAAATATATATTTTTTTAAAAAGTACTCCAACTATCTCAAAAGAAAAAGAATGGCAGTTTTAATAGCTTCTGTTCTAAAAAGTCTTTGGGAGAAATTTTTGAGCTCAATAGTTTGAATCAAACTGACTGTTGAAATATAACATTCAAATTAGGATCTCTGAAAAACAGCTAGAAAATGATACCCATATGGAGCTTTAAAATAAAAGGTTTTAGCTGATTTAATCATTTGTCATAGATGACAGTGTACTGCCAGGCTTGTTCCAGAAATATTTCTTAAATATAATTTCACAGAAAATGAACAAGTTATAAAGTTGTGTATTTACTCGATTCACAATGACGGACCTTGATTTCGATAGTAATAAGCTATTATAATTACAAGTTAGCACACTATTGCAGATAGGAGGCCGTCTGAAAACTGTCCTCTCCAGAACTGTTTTACAAATAAATTAACAATGTGTACTACTCTAGCTTTAAAAAAAAAAAAATATATATATATATATATATATATATATATATATATATATATATATATATATATATTGATTTCAGAGAGGAAGGGAGAGAGAGAAGGAAACATCAAATGGTGAAAGAGAGTTATTGATTGGCTGCCTCCTGCACGCCCCAAACTGGGAATCGAGCCTATAACCCAGGCATGTGCCCCGATGAGGAACCAAACCATGATCTCCTGATTCATAGGTCAACGCTCAACCTCTGAGCCATGCCAGCCAGGTTACTGCTCTGGCTTTTAAAGAGAAGACCTGAGTTCTCCATCCAGGGAGTCTGGTTCACTTGTGCTCGTGAAGAGGGATTGAAACCTTACTGTATCTGCCCTATCAGCCTTTCTGTTAACCAACCAACCAAAATAGCCCATTCTGATGTAAGATTTATTTCAGATGTTTTGTTTTGTTTGTTGAGGTTTTTTTTTTTTGGGGGGGGGGACCTTTTTTTATCATGAAAGACAAAACCTTATTGCTACCTAATTTTAAAAGTGTTCTCATGGTATTTAAAATATGACTGACTTTACTTCCCTAGCTCTATTTATATGATACTACATTTCTTGATTACTTAACACTGACTGCACTGTAGTACACATTCTATATTACATAGCTTAATGCATAGGATCAATTTATAGGAAAGTGTTTTTTTATATTTTATTGATTTATTTTTTTTATTGATTTATTTTTTTTTTAGAGAGAGAGAGGAAGGGAGAAGGATAGAGAGCTAGAAACATCTGTGAGAGAGAAACATTCACCAGCTGCCTCCTGCACATCCCCTACCGGGGATGTGCCCACAACCAAAGTACATGTCCTTGAGCGGAATTGATCCTGAGACCTTTCAATCCGCAGGCCAACACTCTATCCATGAGCCAAACGGGTTTCGGCAATTTATAAGAAAGTTTTTTCAAATATTATGAATTTTTATATCTACCACATTGATAGGAATTGAGATTAAAATTATAGTTGTTTTGCTAACATGTCATCATACAGTATCTTTATTTACTTCAATAAAATTATTTCACATTATTTATGTGTTTATGTTCAATATATTTCCACTAATTTTTTTTATCATTATCTTTAGGAATAAATTTGTGGAGTTCGATATGAAGCCAGTCTGTAAAAAGTGCTATGAGAAATTCCCGTTGGAGCTGAAGAAAAGACTTAAGAAACTAGCTGAGACCTTAGGAAGGAAATAACTTCCTTTGTTTTATTTTTCTTTTCTTTTCTGCAAAGATAAGAGAGTAACACCATTTGACATGACCCATCCTTAGTTAAACTTGTCTCTCAAAGCAGTTGATGAAAAGGACATAGATGAACATTTTCCTCATCTCCTTTGTCTCATTAAAAAAGAAAAAAGTTTGTGATCATATTTAAAACACAGATGAAATAAAGATTTGCCTTTGCCAATAACCCTTTTCAATTTGTTAAAAAGTAGACTATATTTAATAGCAAAAACCATATGGTTAAATATTAAATTTTAATTTAGGTTTCAAAAATTAAATACAACTTTTAAAAATGAAAGTAAAGAGTCACCTTTTACATGACTCAGATTAAAGAATATAAACATTATTTTATTTTGTACTAAAAAGAAAGTTAATTTCAACTGCTTTTAGGGAGGATATAGGAAGAAAAATAACCAAGAAAAACCTTATGGAATTTTAGTATGCTTATCAAACTGGTACCTATAAAACGAATATACACATTACTAACACAAAACAAGTGTATTCAGAACTACTTTGATTTTTTGTTGTAAAATGCAATAATTATGCTTAGTTTTTTAAAATTATGCTTAGCTTTATGTTTTATTCTCCTTGAGAACTTCTTCCTTCATACAATTAACAGTAATTATAGCTGGCTAACTAGTTTGCCTTTTTAAATTTTGTGCAAAAAATTATAGTCTCTGTATTTGAAAATACAATATACTTTACCGTATTAGAAAATGAAAGTTTTTTTTCTGTTGTAATTACAGCAGTTTTGCTTCTAAGCTTAATATCAAAGATGTAGTCCTAGAATAGGACATGAAATTAAATTTTATGTAGCTTGAAATGTATCATTTTAAAAAAAGTGAATGTATTTGGTCCTATTGCCTTTATAACCACATTTTGGTCATAATGCCTTTATAACCAAGTTAATAACTATACTTTGTACATAAACTTGCCCTGCCTTAGAAAAACATATACTAATCAGGAATTCTCGCTGTTCCATATAGTACTGACTAAAAACAAGTGTATTGGTTGAAATTTATAAACTTAGAATCATTTACCACATCTATGATTATATTTTTAAAATTTGTTTTCTCCCTTTTTGGGTAACACGTTAAAATTAATATCTACCATCTTATTAGAAGATAATCATGTTGATACGTGTTTTAAGTTTTTCATTTCAAATCTCAGAATTAGATTTGCTTTGAGTAAGATATAAATGGCACTTAAATTAGAAAAGGGATGTTTAAGTGTCAATTTTAGGTAAAAAGTAGTGAGTTATTCTATTTCATAAAAGGTTTCATTATGAAGTTTCTGGACCATTCTTTCTTGATAAACTTGTATGCAAAGCATTTAGTTGTTGTGAACATTATTTACATGTTTCTGCTGTATTATCATTTTAAAAAAAAGGTGGCAAGATGGACTTCTAAGGGGAAAGTTATTGTTTTTTACAAAAATGCTGAAATACTGTTTTGCTATCACTCTGCCGCTTGATATCACCTCACAATGCTATCACTCTGCCATTAAAATATTTGTATTGAAAAGTTTGTGTATGCATGTAACAGGGCAAATTCTATTTCATGTTTCAGATAACTTATAACCAATAACTTACTTTTAGTGTTCTTCTAGAGTTCAAAGAATTACAAATGATTGAAAATAATTAAATATATAGATTAAGACTGCACATGTTCAGAAGTTTAAAAGTTTGCGTTTGACAGTAAGAATCAAAATCCCTTCAGTGTGTCTTTGTCAGCTGATTTATGACCAGCAATGAAAACCTTGAAGGTATTAATTAATTAATATACTATAGATAGAGGAAAAAGAGTACAAACAGGGTTTGCAGTGTAGGGTCTTGATGTTAAATTCTAAAATATGCCTACACCAGAAATACGGAGCAGAAAAAGCAAACCATTAACTAGATTCTTTTTCTTTTCACCTATATTCTGAGTTCCCGTGAAGGTGTGTGCACTGAGCTGGACTGCTTTGTTTACACACCTATGTGGCCACCTGTCCTGCAGCCAGAGGACCCAGTGCTGTTTTGGCTCCTTCTTTTAAAGCATGAGTTAATGTTTTCTGTAAGTTCAACTTATTAGGGTATTTCATCTAATTTTATTCCCTTATAGGGCTATCATTGGAGCCCTTACAGATGGGAAAGGAGGAAAAAGTTGAAAAGTTATATTGGAATAGAAAACAAACTTGGTGTAGTTTATAATATTTTTGTGAAGCTTTTCCTAGCTGTGAAAAAACTCAGGCTACTAAGCATTTCTTTGTTTAAAGTCCAGCAAGACAGTTTTAACTTCCAGTTAAAATTCATTGAAGTGCTCTTTTTTTTTTTTTTTCTAAGCCTGATATTAATTGGGGGAAATGGATACAAATTAAACATTCTTTGGATTGTGTTCAAAGCCTTATTAACATTGCACCTGAAATCATAGCCATTTTGCCTTATTTCCCAAACAGCCATTTCTAAGTTGAGGAAATTTCAAGGTAGGCTTACAGAATTCTTATTGTATTTCATTTTAGATTGTAAGCTCAATGGCAGGGACACTATATTACTAACTGTGTTTTTATATAGCAACCTTTGCAATATACTCTTGGTACCTAATAAATGTGCATAATTATTAACAGTAACCTGTTGTGTATTAATTTGAATGGCTTTGAGACAGAACTATGAGAATATAAGGCTAATGTTTAAGAAAGCTCTTTTTGGAAGCATCCTAGGTAGATGAATGGATAAGAAAGTGTGTGTTTGTGTGTGTGTGTGTGTGTGTGTGTGTGTGTGTGTGAGTGTGTGAGAGAGAGAGAGAGAGAGAGAGAGAGAGAGAGAGAGAGAGAGAGAGAGAGAGAGATATTTTATGCTGCTAAGTGATAATAAGTCTGACAGAAAAACAATTACTATATGATTTCACTTAGATGTGAAATTTTAAAATAAAAAACAAGCTTATAGAGAAGAAATGGTGACTGCCAGAGATAGCGGTAGGGTGTGGACAACATGAGTGAAGAGGGTCAAAAGGCACTAACATCCAGTTATAAAATAATTAAATCGGAGGGATGTGATGCACAGCACAGTGACTATAGTAAATAATTCTGTATTGTATATTTAAAAGTTCCTAAAAGAGTAAATCTTAAAAGTTCTCATCACAAGAAAAGTTATATAACTATGTGATGATGGAATTTAGCTAGACTTATACATTTCACAATATATACAAACATTGAATCATGTACATTTGAAACTAATGTTATATATAAATTATACCTGAATTTTTTAAAGAGTTCCATATTTTTTAAAAGGCACTTATATATGTAATTTAGCAATACAATTTAACAGTACTCTGTCTAAATCCATGTGAAAGTATCTAATTAAACATTATATAAAATTCACAAAGCAGTTTCCACAAACATTGTCTTGTTGTTTTTTTTAAATATGGAACACTTTATGAATTTGTGTGTCATCTTGCACAAGGGCCATCCTAATCTCTGTATCATTCCAATTTTAGTATATGTGCTGCACAGACACTGTCTTTTTTCTTTTTTAATCCTTACCACTATAAGTTATTCAGAACTCCTCATATCAGAGGATTTGTATAGATGATAAGTAGGTCCTGTTTCTCTTAGCATATTGTGTTTATGTGTTTGCATGTATAAGGAAATGCAAGTATTCTTGAATATATAGTGGAAACATTCATAAATATGAATAAAAGAAAATGATCTTATGTATAAGCCAAATCATAGAATGGTGGTGGAGTTTCCCCTCTATTCACAATACATTCTGATAGTTTTCAGGGTTTTTTTAACTTAAATTTATTTAACGAGACACTTTAAGGGAAAACTAGGGTTTTTATTTTTATTTTAGTAACTTGTTCCTACTTAAAGATAGATTGCTCTACAAAAGAGTTTTAAAAGTGTCCTTGGTTTTACAATGATATGTGAAAATCATTAAAATTCTTCAATTGAATAAGGTATGCAAGGATGTCTATGTTCTTTTGTTGTTGTTAAACAGTGAGAATACCGTGATTTACTGGAATACAGAAATGAGGGCTGAATAAGCATGCCACTAGTGGGAAAAGGGTATTTTCACAGAACCACTATTTTTTCCCATTGTGTCTTCATTTTATGCTCATCAAACTTACCATTGGGCCAGGCCAGCATTGCTCAGTGGTTAAGAATTGACCTATGAACCAGGAGGTCATAGTTTAATTCCCAGTCAGGGCACATGTCTGTGTTGTGGACTCCATCCCCAGTGTGGGGTTTACAGGAGGCAGCCAATCAATGATTCTCATCATTGATGTTTCTATCACTCACCTTTCCATTCTGAAATTAAAAAACGTTTTTTTAAAAACATACTATCAGGCCCTGACCAATGTGGCTCTTGGTTGGAGTGCTCTCCTATGCACCAAAAAGTCACAGGTTCAATTCCCAGTCAGGGCAGGTGCCCAACCCAGGTTGTGGGTTCAATCTTCAGTAGTCGGAGTGGTACAGGAGGCAGCAGGTCTATGTTTCTCTTTCACATCCATGCTTCTCTCCCCCTCTATATGTATAGCTGTGTGTGTGTGTGTGTGTGTGTGTGTGTGTGTGTGTGTGTGTGTATGTGTGTGTGTGTGTGTGTATAGTAAGTGTCCAACCATTCGACTGGTAGCTATGATGCCCATTGATCATCAGGGGGCAGATGTTCAACACTCAGACATGGAAACATGGAACAGACTGATGAATCTCCTAGGGAAGAGGGAGAGCGGGAAGAAATTAACCAAAGCTCTTACGTGCATACTGGAAGCCTGGTGCACGGATTTGTGCTCTGGTGGGGTCCCTCAGCTTGGCCTGCGGGGATCAGGCCTAAACCAGCAGTCCAACATCCCCCAAGGGGGTCCCAGATTGTGAGAGGGTGCAAGAGGTGGTCAGGAGGTGGGGGAACTAAATGGCAGTATGCTACTTGAGAATATGTCTTGGTCTGAAGAAACCAAGTTTTAGAGTAAAGCACTGTTCAGTAGGCCCCTCCCATC